ATTCATGTTTACCAACCCATCAGGGCTAAGGTTAGGTTTATATGACATGTACAGGTTAGGTAATATTGGAGTTGAAATAAAATATATAATAATCTCTTCAGTGTAGTTAAGAAAAAATACATGGTGGTAGCAAAAATTGTCAATGATTAAATAAAAGTGCTCCTGCTCTTGTATAGATTTCATTGCAGATATTCTCTGTGGCTCACATACACACAGAAGGGTATCTAAAACCAAGAGTGCCCAGATCATGTAACTATATTTGGACTTTGTAACAGAAGCAGCAGCTACTTCAACAGGTGCAGAATTAATTTTGTTTTTCGTTTTGAACATAGTCCTAATAAATGTTTAGTGAATTGTTACAGAAATAAGATTGATTTAGCAATTTAGTTTCCAAATGGATACAACCCCTCTGCAATATTCTTTATTTGATTTTTAAATTAGTAAGATATTAAAATACCTGTTGTGAATTTTATAAGATTAGTATAATCTTATAGAATGAGCACCAGGAGTTCAGTACTCTAGTGCTGCAATAATTCAACCCCTGAATAAATAAAAACATCACATCAATCTACACCACAATTTATTTAAAGATACAATATAGGCCAATACACACACATCACATATATATTACGATATCACCTTGAATGATACTTTGTTTAAACATACCACAATAAATATTTAGTAAACAAGAGAAAAGTCAACAATGGCCAGCAAATAATGGTACTACACATTTCACAAAATCAAATACAGCATCAGTGTAAAATGGACAATGTTTCACCATACTAGTGCACTTAACTGTCCTGCTTTACTTTGAAAATAAAACCCAGTTGTTTTCTTTACTTTCAAAAGGTGGAAATTTACATTCATAATAAATATTAAAGCCGTAAGCATCATACCAGGTTTTGCAGATTTTAGACAGATTTGTTCTCTAGTCACTGGTGATAGGTGTAGAAAATGAGAAATATGGTGTTACTAACTTGAAACATAATGAATGTACTAAGAACAAACTGAAACGGTTGGAGTATCTGATGAGTGTAAAGGCTGAGGAGGTATAATGTGTAGAGGTGGTTTGATTTTTTTTAACTTAATTTTGATAATAGTGGGTATTTCCAAATTGCTACTACTTTTTAATGACATTTATTTTGGTTTTGAAACACACTTTGCACTGCATTATGGTATTATGGTGCACTGAAATATTACGGTTTAAGAAAGGAACTTTGGAAACTGTTATTTTTAACTTTAAACCCTCAAATATATGTGTATTTATTTTTGAATAACTAGGTATACTTCTGAAAAAATTATGGAAATTAGTTAATATAATCATGATGATCTTCAAAAACATTGAGTATCTGGGTAATATTAACTGTTGGTATTTTTATCATAATTTAGATTTAACAAATGTCACTGCATTTTATGGTAAATTTTATTTTGAAGATGATCTTATTATCTTATTCTGATATATTTATAAGAATAGAGAAGTTGGTTTGTAGGTGAATATTACTTGCTTAAGATAATGAAATCTACTAAAGGTGAGTCCTTTTAAAAATAAACTCTTAAAATATTATTTTAATAGCAAAAATATGCTCTAGGTAAATTCACAAAGTGCGTATTTTATTGTTTTCATTAACATATTTTACAATTTAGATGAAGAAATTGGTATTGTAAGTCCATTTATTTTTCTCAAAGAGCCTAAAAAAGAATGATTTTATAATATATAAAGAAAAATTGGTGCTTTCAAAGTCATGCAAACACAAAATTTAAAACTAAAAAAAATCTTTAAATCCTATGCTGCATATGTTTTCATAATCCTTGAAAGACTAGCATAAGCCAGTTATTTTAAATAACAAGGAATATTGGTTGGGGGAGTACATGGTATTCTGGCCCCTACATTTTCACATCATCATTCCTATCCAACTGTTTTAATTCTACAGATGTTACAATTTTGAATATCTTGCTTTAGTATGGAAAATAAACAATTTTTGAACTTTTATGTTTTATAAATTAACAAAGGTATCAAGTAGACATATTTACTCCACTCATGGTGTTTACCTTAATATTTATTCTGTCCTGGTTCCTGAAGGTCAAAATGTGGGGAGATGTGCTGGGGTGGAGTTTAAGGGTCAAAGGTACGGGAGACTTGAGACAGGAGTTAAGAAGGCTATAGTGGGATTTGGACAGAATTTGGGAATCAACTGAGGGAAAGGAGCTTGATAAATAGTGTATAGTAAATATGAGGACAATGTCAATGTGGAATTAGATGGGGAGAGGAGGAAAGCAGAGAAGATACCCAAAATAGTATAGGGGTGAGGAAGGAACTAAATTGTGGGGGGATGAGGTATGCAGGATATGGTTGGGGATAAGAAGTACTGGGTTGGGAATAAGAAAGGTTAAGGATGTAGTAGGGTTAGGATGGGTTGAGGTACACTTATAGGGGATGAGTGTATCTGAAGATAGTGTAAACTTTAGGGTTATTTGTTCATTTTATTAAGTAATGAAATAAATCAAGAAATAAAAATATTCTATTCCAAATAATAAAGAACTTCATTTACTTTAAAGCTATAGTTTTATTCTAATTTTTGTTTTTTTCTTAGATTTCCTCTCATTTTCCATAAATTTGTCTTCCACATTAGTGAGGCTCTCTGCTCTTGAAATATTTACTGAAAAAGGCACATATACTTTGTAACCTATTATATGTTAAAAGCACTTTGCTATATTTTGGATTTTTACTTCTAAAACATGCTTAAAACAATGATTTGATGGAAATACAACATGTGATTAATGACACATTTCTGACAACTATATGAATTTTGTTATGAAGTCTGCTTATTGAAAAAAACTATGTTCTTTCTCTCTCTTTTGTAGAATATTGATGTTGTTGAGTGACTTAGAGAATTAATTTGATATGGAGAACCCTAAGAAATAGGGCATAATCTTTGAAAATAAAAAATGACGTGCTCAGTTTAATAAATACTAATAGTATTTAGAAGAATAAAAACAAGACTATAAATAACTTCCAGTACAGGATTGAGAATAATCTTCTTAGACCATCTTCATGTTTGATTTTTACTTGACAGTTTAATTTAATTTCTTAAAAATTTACAGAGAAGCAGCTGGCCACTTTACATACATTTTTATATTTAAAATTTAAGCCACTAAACACAATATCCACAATTGTATGGATTATGAGGAATAACACTCACAAAGTAGGGTTTTGTTGATGATGAAGTTGGTGTTTTCGTGACTGTCTTCAATTATATATTAGTCTTATATATAATTGAATCAAACTTTGTTTACTGTCTCTCTTTCTACTTGTTTTTGATAAACATTAGTTCTTGATAAATTATTTCTCAGTTTCTATTGTACTCATTATTTTTCACTCACCAGGTGGTTTCCTCTGAAAATTAGAACACAATAGTTGTGTTCCCGAAAGTCGGTGTGACAAGAGAGCATGTTAAGCAAGGTGATGTTTCAGTTTGCTTTTTAATCTAAGTCAAATATTGGCAGTAACTCAACTATGGTAGCCTGTATCCTTCTATTATTTCTGTGGTTTTGCCACGCTACATGAAAATCAGGTTACTCAAATCTGAAATGGTATACCATCTTCTTGGTTGGTAAGAAGTAGGAGAAAAAAAAATCTCACTACGTTTACTAATTTTCTGAGGTTAAAGCCCTGGTTCATAAAGAGCATGCTGAACCATGGGGACTGAAGGGAGGGAGGCTAGCCAGCCTCTTTACCTCCTTCCTCAGAGGCCAAAGAAATCTTATAATAAAAGGCAAGAGTTTGCCTTCACATCAAAGACCCCTTGCACTATGTGTTAAGGCACATAATAAGGGGTTAGGTGGCAACCTATTGTTTAAATTGCCCTTGGTTTTGTAAAAACAACAGCAACCATTATTCAGAAAGTTGAATATTTAAATGCACAAATTGAATAATGGCCCGAGTGCCCTAAAACTCAGCACAAATTTTATATTACACAAGAATACAAAGTAATGAGATTATTTTCCAAGTAATTTGTCAGTTATTCTCATAACCTTCTGGTAATATTTTATCTACCTTACAAGATTTGTGAAATAATTGTTCCAGAAAGTCATATTTTATATACAAGTAGGGTTCATTAATTTGAATACTGGGCTGATCACCTGGGTCAATGAAATGCTGTCTTCATTGCTCTGGGAAGAGCATCCTACTCATTCATCTCATAAAAGTTTTCAAGAATTTTTATCTTCTACCCTGAATCTTCTTATGAAAATGAACAGAGTGGCTTGGAGAGGTGAAAAATTAACTTTCAAACCAAAAACATTGTTTTAGCATGTAATATTTTAGGCATCCTGTGGTGCTGTTATTATAGTCTCACATTATTAGCATCACAACCACATACGATATTTACAGTTCTACAGTTATTTGTCTCCTTGTATTGTTAAGGCTTCCCATAAATATTTACAATTTTGATACGTATATGTAAAAAAACCACAAATAGCCATATTTAAATACTCTTGTTAGTGAACTTTTCCTCAGATGTTTTTTTTAAAAATATTTTAGTGAAGTATTTTACTAAAGAAATCGCCTGGATTTTAGCTTTCAATAAATAAATGTCTTGGACATTAAGCTAGACCCATCAAAATAAATGACAAAACCTCTGAGATCATTTTTATTTGTCTTTCAAAGTATTCAAGAGGACTTGAAATTACTAGGAGGTATTGTCATTTGAGGATTACTTGATATTTTATTCAATGAAAAAGTCCACATCTGAAACACACTCCTCCAACTAGATTATTCCACATACAATTGATGGCCACATATGGGATAAACTAGCTAGCTACAATCTAGTTTTATCCAGTCTAATAAATAATTATCACAAGTTTATTAATTACGTTCATTGTGAATTCATAATTTAGATATCCCATTTAGTATTTTGAGTTGTCAAGTTTGTATATGTCTGTTTTGATGTTAAGTGTCTTGGTTTGTTTCTTCAATGGACAGCATTGTAAAGTATCATTTTTTATAACTGGTGTTCACCTATCTTTGAGAGCTCAGTGAGTGGAGAAGATACCATACGTCTGGAGGTTCTATCACTATTACCCATGTAAACACCAAAAGCACTGCTCCTGGGAACTCCAGCATTGCCTCTAAGAACTTGAAGATTATCTAAGGGCATTCCAACATTAACAATGGGGATAGTATTGACATCATTCTCGGGGATTCTAACATTGCCTCTGGAGCATGCAGAAGTATCCTCAGGAATTCCAATGTTTTCTCCAATTGCAGAATTTTCAAATCTCGGCTTGATGGGAAGATGTTCTTCAGAATGTGATGAAATTTCTCTTTGCCAGACTCCCTCCACGTTGTATATTTCCTTGATATTTTCTAAAACACAAAGCCAGAAATTTGTAACTGATTAACAGATTGGCTTCAGTTTTGAGAAAAAGCTATAAATAAGAATCAAAGATGTATTTCCAAATTTGATTTCAGTGCAATTACCTCAAAATGACAAGGTGATTTTACCACAGTAAGTTTTATTTAGCAATTACACTTTTGGATGTAAAAGATGGACAAAGAAAAAAAGTGAGTAAATGATTCTAAACCAGAAGTTTAGGCTTATTAGAAAGTAGAGGTGGAGAAAGAGGATGAAAAATGGGGGTATGATAGGGAAGAGCTACAGGCTAAAGGACTTTTAGGAACAAAGGTGTAGGTATTTAGTATGAAATTTTATTCCGTTGCTAGTATGAACGCTTAATGTAATTAGGAATTTAGTGGGAACAAGAAATTAGATAAAAGATAACCATAAAAACTGGAAGTACCCAGGAAGGTTGTGTGTGTGTGTGTGCATGTGTTTGTGTGTGTAAGCATGCAGGCACTTGTGTGTGCTGTGCAAGTGCACATAGTGGCCATACAACAACCTAGGATGTTATTTACCAGGAGTTGCTCACTTATTTATTTATTTAGGCAGACTTTCTACCCAATAAACTCCAGTTGTGGGATAAAAAAACACTCAGTACTATGTCTCTTTGTTTTTCAACCCGAGTTTTTAAAATCAAACCCAATTCTGTTGCTTATTATGTGCACTCTTTAATGACTCAGCAATGTAGTGTTGCTAATTTGTAGCACTCTTCAGAAGGATTTTCAATTTGAGAATAAAGTTGAACCAACTTTACATTTCAAAAGATAATATGATCTGAGCTGACTTTAGGTTAGAGTATAATTTCTTCCTTTGATAAATGACTTGTTAGAGGTCTAAATATGTATAGAAAAAGAAATATTACAGAATGGGCCAAGTTGCGATTTCCAGGTAAACTTTGGGTTAGACTTCAGACTTTTCATCAAAATCATCTTCAGGAGTTTGGGGATGCTATTTTTAAAACAATACTTCTAGTTTGCAGACCTTTTATGAAGTTGTAGAATTGGGTTCTAACAGAAGTTAGACATGAAAATTCCTAATACCATTCAGTAAACACAGGAGAATTTTTATATATGCTTACATAGGTGTAATGATAAAACTAAAATGTTATTTTATAGCCAGTAGCAAATTTCAATCTAGGATTTAATATGTTATAGATATAAATTATGTGAATATTACTTTTAACCAAATATAGATTAAAATATTAATGGTTTATATGCCAATTCATACTTTCTTGTAAGTAGCTCCTCATATACAAGAGGAGATAAAGAAGTTATCTGTTGGGTTTTTAACCAGTTCATTATTAATGCCCATTAACACATCATTCCTTTTTTATTATCTACTACGTAGTTATTAGACAAGGAGTGTGTTAGTGGACATGTTTTTCTATTCTATGGGTTAAAATTGAATGAGTGAGGACGTTTCATTTTCTCACACCTTTTAAAAGGTGAATTTTTGTTTCTAACTTGAAGTCTTAAGAAGTCTGTATATTCTAGAACACACTCCTGATGATTATTAATTGGTATGTGATTGAATTAACCCAACTTAGCATCAGGATGTAATTACCAAATATGAATATAAGACTTACATTTGCGGAAGAGAAACCAATTCCATCATAAAATGTTTTATGATATAGAAAGGGATAATCTAGGTGGCAAGCTTAAAGATAAACTTACTGGTGAAAATGTACTTATATGAAAAATTATATGTAACTTAAAAAAGTAGTGACAACAAGAAAAATCTTACCTTCTGTTATTAAATTATGGTCAAGTGGGAAGAAGTGAGTTTCTTCTTCATTTAATTTGAATTCAGGTGCATTTAAATACTGGCCTCTGGCTTCACTGTATCCTGGTAAGCTTTGACTGCGCTGCCGCTGGAGCTTAGGACGTTCTGGCAACAAGGGGAAAGGGCCTTGCAAAGGTTGGAAATGTTGATCCTTAGTATGGATGGTTACTTGATTCTCTTCTCCTGATGTTAGTTTGCTGCAACCCGTATTTCGGTTTTCTTCCTTGGGAATAGTTTGGAGAATATGAAGCCCCTCATTGTTTAGTGGTGCCTCTAAGAGCTCTGCCCAGGAACGCCGATAGATGAATCTTTCTCTAAAAGGATACATGCTTCTTGCTACTTCCATATCATCACTTCCTGGGGACTCTGCATTTTCTGGAGATTCCATCCACAGATTTCTTGGGGTTCCTGGGCGACTGTATTCTGAGGATGGTGAACATTTATTTAGTAAAACCTCCAGGTGTACAAACCCAGTGAAGTGCAAAGTTGGAATTTCTGTATCATCTAGCTCCTCCTTTCCAGGCACACCTGCAACAAGTATTGCGGTGCCTTTCCCCCTTTCCTTGGGACTGGCAATTCCTGTAACGTCTAAGCGATGAAATTCTAGGAACCTTGGAAAAATTGGTACTAACTCTATGCGAAGAAGACCTGAAGTTTTTGGTCTTACAAGGGCAATGCTTTCTAACTCCTCAGTTAGTGGTGGGGTGGTAGCTTTTACCACCTGACTTGTAAGCCCCAAGTCCCTCTGATGGATACCTTCACGATTGGGTTGCTGGGAGGCCAAAGTTGGAATCTGTTCATTTTGTTTTCTGGCCCTTTCCTGAATTTCCTCTTTAATAGGACGGAAATAAATGAATTCATCAGAAATATTTTGAGGATGTCTGTATTGGAAGTTTGGATTCACAGAAACAATCTGAAAGAAAATTGAAGTTCATTATGTCAACACTTTGAATAATACTCTTGATTCTGATACATCGTATCTTTTATTGTAAGGACAGGATAACACTATCTTAGACACAGTAGACATAAGTTGATTGCTCCAAATTGAGAAATATGAAGGATTCCCCAAAAGTAGTCTATTTATTTCAGAAACATTATTTTAGTCTAGTGTTTCCCAAGTTTATTTCCTAATAACCAATCAAAGACTGTGTTATCCTCTGAGAACATACATTATCTATGGCCAATCGTTTGGAAGACAATTTATAATTCTTATAACTTCATACTCACTTAAAGGTTCCTAGAAATATATTTAAAATATTTGTTTCTATTTTTGTATGTCCGTCTATGTGCTTGCCATGTATGCATGTGGGCATGTGCATGTGCATGTACATTATGTATGTGTGTATGAATGTAAGTACACCCATTCCATAGCAGTTGTGTGGACAGAGTAAAACTTTGTATAATCAGTTCTCTCCATCTGTCTTGTTTCTGAGGCACGGTGTCTCTTGTTATTTTGGCTGCTTGGATATGTGCCATAGAAGTGCTAGGGTTACAGATATAAGGTACCACATCTGATATTTTTAAAAATTGAGTTCTGGGGATCAAATTCAGATCATTAGGGCTGTGTGGCAAGAGATTTTACTTGATGAACCAAGTAAATCAAATCTTGAAGGGCCTGCTCCTCTAGGTTGCTAGCTCTGAGAGACAACAAACAAGTTGTCTTTGAGAACTCTGTTAAAATGAAAACTAACCAAGCTACAGTTTATACTTCTAAAAACCTCAGTCTCTAGGCCACTATCACTTGGCCAGTCATTTTAGGGACAGGCAGAGATGGCTCAGCGGTTAAGAGCACTGCCTGCTCTTTCAAAGTTCCTGACTTCAATTCTCAGCAACCACATGGTGGCTCACAAACATCTGAAATGAGATCTGGTGCCCTTTTGAAGAAGAAGCCTGATCATCCATCCTCATCAACTTAGACCATGAAACCCAATATGGACAAGTTCAACAGAACCACCAAATATGGGCTGCCCATAGACAGGACATAAATTTCAAATTCATTTACTGGATCACTAAGAATAGCTCCTATATCTGAGAATCAAGAGTTATTCAAGCTAACCTGTTTGCTTTGCTGCATTATCACTGATTTTGGTGGTTCCCATGTTTCCACTATCTTATGTCATAGTATGTCACTTCTCTTGGGATGTGTGAGTATAGTGGACTATAGTTTCAATGACTGTCATTTACTGATATGTCTCTTAACTTCACAAAGTATGATGATATGTGAAGAATAAACATACAGAACATTCATATTTGCATATGATAACCACTCTTAAATTGTGTACTTTGATCCTACACCCAACACCAACATGTCATTCTTGAAGATTTTCAAAGCCTCCAAAAGAAATCCCAGGACATCAGTAAAAGTAAGAATAAAAGTTCTTCCAATAAGTACAATAAAAAAAGCTGGAAGAAAATATCAAAATTAACTTCCAAAACTTTAGAAAATAGTCAAAAGCTTGGAGTAATTTCTGCTCATTTGTTTAACGTGGGTGGCTAAGCTTGTTGCATTTTCATTTTCCCTGTTCTATCATCACTGTCTACCTCCAATTTTAGAGATGCTTTACAAACCAACAATTGAGAATCATGGTGAAAACCCAGGGTCTAGCAATCACTGAAGGAGATGAAATAGAATTCAACCACCTTCACTTACTCATTCTCATGGACTTATTATGAATCGGCTTGCTTGTCACATTGTAGTCTAATAAAAAATAAGGAAAAGAAAAACAAACATGCAGACATATACGTGCACACACCCAAGAAAGCTACGGTAAAATTCATCACACTCATTAAGTATTGGTAATGTTTGGTTTGGTCTTTATATCTTTCTCTAACTTTCAACCATACAATATTTGTATAATTTAAATCAAAGAGTGGCACTAAAGTAACTGTATTATATTAAAAACTTCAGACTAATATTTATCAGTTACATGCTGTGTTATTAACTTGAGTATGAGTTTCATTGTTTTCTAATTCTGTGGCATTTATTATTCTATCTTAGTAATTGATAATTATTTAGTATTTGATCATTTTCTTATTTGTTTTGGGAGTGATAATGTGAAGAGATCTTTGTGATTTGATTAGAACAGGCTTTCTCCCAGAATACTTTCATATGATGGTTCCAAAACAATATAAGTGGTTCTATAAAATTGTTACATATTAAACTATATATTGGACAAAAAACTAAAACACAATTTTAGAAGAATTCCATGGTTTACATTTTCATCAATAGTATATAAGAATTTCTCTTTATGCACACGTATCCTCACCAACATTTGTGGTTATTTTTGTTTCTTTATGATAGCCACTCTAATTTGGGTGAGATACAATTTCAACGTTCTTTTAATGTGGATTTTTACTATAGCTCAGAATGTTGAATATTTTAAAATATGTATTAGCTATTTGTGTTTCTTATTTTGGGACCTGCCTATTCAGTTCATTGACTGATTTACTGATTGGCAGCTCATATATTCTCTCTATATATTAGTTCCTTGTCTGAAAGTGAAGACTTTCTCCCATTTCTATACCATGTCTCTCTACTCTGTTGATAATTTCTTTCACTGCATAGAAGCTTTTGAAATTTATGTAATTGTTAACAGGGGTTTTTGTCCCACCCAGTCCCACAGCCGTTCAGTCTGAAAGAAATACACAGAGGTCTACATTAGTTATAAACTGGTTGGCTCAGTAGCTCAGACTTTTTATTAACTCATAACTTATATTAGCCCATAATTCTTGTTTATGTTAGCCACGTGACTTGGTATCTTTTTCATCAAGGCAGTCTCATCTTACTTCTTCTGTGGCTGAGTGACAACTGCACACTGAATATTTCCTCTTCCCAGAATTCTCCAGTTCTCATTGCCCCTCCTATATTTCCTGCCTGGTTGCCCTGCCTATACTTCCTGCCTGGCACTGGCCAATCAGTGTTTTATTAAAATACAATTGACAGGGTACAGACCATTGTCCAACAGCATGTAATCCTATCAATTCTTGGGTCTACTTACTGTACTATTGGGATTTTAGTTAGACAGTTGTTGCCTGTAACTATCGCTCAAGTGTTTTTCTTATGTTTCACATGAGTAGTTCAGTGTTTATGATTTTAAATTAGAATTTTCATCTACTTTGAATCTATCTTTTTTTTTTCCAGGAAGATTTAATCTAATTTTTTTGTAGCTACGTGCGTAGTTTTTTGGCACCATTCAATAAATAAGCCATAAGTCATTTTTAAGTAATGTTTTGACACCTCTGTCAATAATTAAATGTACATAGCTGTGTGTTTTACTTTGGTGTTCCCTATTATGTTGCATCAGTCTACATAATCTGTTTTTGTGGACATTATCACACCGTCTTTGTTACTGTAGTTCTGTAGTGTATTTTGAGTATAAGAAATATTATAATTCTGACTGTCCTTTTTATATTTAGAATTGCTTTGTCTGTGTATGGTGCTTTATGTTTCCATACAAATTCTAAGATTATTTTGTTTTTTTAGTTTTGTAGAGAATATCACTGGAATTTTGATTGGGATTGCATTATATTATTATATTAATTATAATATTAACTATAATATTAATTCTTTCAAACCAGGGATAGGAAAAGTTTTTCTACCATATAATATCTTTCTCAAAAACATTTTAGCATCTTAAAATTTTCTTGTAGAGGTCTTTTCCTTATTCATTAGTTCAATTTTCATTTAGTTTTAGTTTTATTTAATGCCATTATGAAAGGGATATTTCTCCTAATTTAATTCTCAATGTTTGATAGTGGCATGTAAAAATCTACTGACTTTTGTATGTTGATTGTGTGTCTTGTAGCACTATTAATAGTGTTTACCAAATCTAAAATTTTATTTTGTAGAGTCTTTGTGTTTTTCAATGGTATTGTGTTTTCTGTAAATGACATCTTCTTTCTTGATATTATCCCCTTTATATCTTTGTCTTGTTTTAATTTCTGTAGCTAAGACTTTAAGCTCTATACTGAGTCAAAATGGAATGAGTAGGCACTTTGAGAGCATTTCAACCAAAATCCAGATTTTCATGTTATAGTATGAACATGTTATATTATCTATAGATTTCTTATATACAGATTTTATGTTGAAATATGTTTCATAGATTTCTAGTTTATTCAGCACTTTTATCATGAAGTAACATTGAACTTTCTCAAATGTCTCTTCTATCAAGATCTTATAATTTCTAAATTTTAATCCATTAATATGCTGTGTTACATCTGTTGACTTGTTTATTTTGCATTCTTGGGTAAAATTAACTTGGTAAAGATGTATGATCTTCTTAATTCGATTTTGAAACAAATTTATAGTATTTTCGAGAATTTCCATCAGATTATTTTGTAACAACTCCTTCTCATCTCTAAATTATTTAATTATTCTTGGTTTTTTGAGACAGGGTTTCTCTGTGTATCAGTCCTAACTGTTCTGGAACTAGCTCTTGTACACCAGGCTGTCCTCAAACTCACAGAGATCTGCCTGCCTTTGCCTCCCAAGTGCTGGGATTAAAGGCGTGCACCACCATTGCCAGACTCACGTCTAATTTTATTAATTTGAGCTTTTCTTCATATCTTTGGGTTTGTTTGCTAATCTTGTTGATCTTTCCAAAGAGCCAACTCTGTTTATGTCTGTATTAATTTCTGCCATATTCTTCATTATTCCTTGCCATTCTTTGCAATTGTTTAACTTTATTTTTCTAGAGCTCTCTTGAGTTGCATCACTATGTCATTTATTTGAGATCTTGAGCTCTCTTTAATTCCGTTTAGATATGAGCACCTATTCTAAAAATTCTTCTTCGGACTGTCTCAGTAGTGCCTGGCGTCATATTAGGCTGGGCTCTCATTTTCATTTTATTCAATAGTTTTAAACTCCCCCTTTAATTTCTTCTGCAGTGTATTGTTTTGTTCCCTAGTATTTTGTAATTTCTGAGGTTAATCTTGCTATTTATTTGAATTTTGATTCTGTTATGGTTTCATGAGAGGGAAGGGACTATTTTATTCTTTTTTCATTTGTTATGGCTTTCTTTGCGGCCTATAAGTTATATATTATATATAACACACACGTATACATATATATACACACACACACACATATATGGTTTTAGAAAAGTTTCTAATGCACTGCTGATTAAATGCATATTTTCTTATGCTGGTGTTTTCTCTAATGACTTAATTCTAAACCCATAGATCAGTATATCAGTCTTCATCAGAGAAGCTTCTCCTTGCATGCAATGGAAATTAATACAAAGATTCTAAACTGGTCAGTGTCCAGAGAATAACAGAGTGGCATGCTCAAGCACAAATGGGTTTTGACCCTCCTTCCAAGGCTCAGTAATCTTTGAGAAAGAAGGAAAAGAAATATTGTAAGAGCCAGAAGTGGTGGATAACATCAAATTAACTGTGTTTCCCAGATAGTAATGAACAGTTTATATATATATATATATGAATTCACTAAAATTGTGACAGCATGCACAAAATCTGCCCAAACTCCAGACAGGCATAGAGGGTATAAGGTAAGCAAGAAATCCCACCATTAACTGAGGAACTATTGACATTTGATAGTTTCTGGGAAAGAAAGAGACTCCCTGGGCAAAACTGGACTCAATGGGGAAAAGAACAACATCAACTTAATTTTAATTTTTCTCTTTTTTACTATACAGCTCCTGTGTCTGTCTGTCTGTCTGTCTGTCTGTCTGTCTGTCTGTCTGTCTATCTATCTATCTATCTATCTATCTATCTATCTATCTATACATGCTATGCCTTTGATTGTGTTTGTATGGGATTCCTGAGTGTGTGAACAAGTGGGTCTCTGCCCCATATCTGTTTTTTTTTGTGTGCTTTTTCTTATTTTATTATTATCCCTTAGATACCTGTTTGTTTTGTAATGAGAGACAGAAAGAGGGTAGATCTGGAAGGGAGGCGAGGTGAGGAGGAACTGAGAGTAGAGAGAGGGGAGAAACATAACCAGGATATATTTAATAAAAATCTGTTTCCATAGATATCAATGAGGTCCTATCCAAACCAATCTCTTCCTCAAATAACTTCATTTTTATCATTCAAAATGATAAAATAAACATGGAATTTTATATGTATGTTTGCTGAAAAGTGGGATTGTGATTTTTGGTGAAGATTTAAAAAACGAGAAATCTCAATGTTGTGCACAAGTAGATAGTAGTGAGGGGAAGGTAGCCATAGGGGAAGTTGGGAGGTTTAATATGATCAAAATATATCATATGAAAGCCTTTATGTATTTAATAAAATAATGTTAAAATACTTAGACATGAGTCTAATATAACGTTCCTAACAAAAACTTTAAAATAATTAGAGCTGTTTTTAAACTATAAGAGCTTTTAAAAATGAGTATGAATATTCATAAGGAAATATTTACATTTTTAGTGAATATCTTATAGGGATTATTACAGAAAAGAGGGAATCCTAAATTTGTGTGTGAGCACAGACTCATCTACATAAAACTTTTAAAGCAGATTAAATCTGAAGCAATAACTGATACAAATAAGGAATTACATACAACAAAATAAAACCTTTTATGAAAAAAGAATGTAGATAACTATCAAACCCAGTCCATCTATGTGGTATTTATCTCAGAAGATTTTTTGCCGATTTTTGGTTTGGAAGATCAATCTAGGTGTGATAGCTGGATTTGGAAATCTCTCACTAGTATTATTTCAGAACCTATATGGTGTTTATGTCTATTGATATTTTAATGAAATGGGGCCTCTGAGGCTCAGTGCATAAACATTTATGGTAATTATAACTTTTGTGTTTGAAGTCTATATTATCAGATACAAGAATAGTTATTACATTTGTTTGTTAGACTGATTTCCAACCATATATTTTTAGTTTTCCTGTTTCTGTGAAATTTTTTTGAGAGAACAGTTAGTCTAAACTTATTTTGTAATCCATTTAGTTGGTGAATTAAGGACATTTGAATTCAAAATTATTGTTGAGAAGAGTTTGCTATTATAAATGCTTTTTTGACTGTTCTAGTTGGTTGGGTTACTAGTAGTTTTTTCCCATCCTTTTCTGGGAGCATTGGCTGTTTGCTAATTTGCTGTTCTGCACATGATCAATTTCTTCCTGGTTATCTTCCATTCATCTATTGCTCTCATGAGCTGTATTAATTTCTTTGTTTGTGGATCATGCATTATCTTAACTTATGCCAGTATTTAAATGTTCTTATTTATCCATCAATTTTAATAACTTTGATAGTTGACAATTATTTATGTTCAGGGCTTGAAATACATCATTTCATGTTTCTGCCTCATGAATTGCTGCTTTTCACTTGTTGCTTTAAGTTTTGTGTTTACATTGCACTTTTGACATCTTGATTATGATATTTTGTAGGGAGTTTCTTCTCTGATAATAACTATTTGGGGGTTTAAGATGCTTAATATACTTAGATATTTGTTTGTGATATTCTCAGATATAGTTCATGGTCTAGGTTGTCTGACTAAAACTGTTGACTTCATATCAGATGCTTCTAGCCTATGGATTCTTAGGATTAGTCTCTAGAACATATGTCAGAATTTTTGGAAGTTTTGGTCACAGTCATTTGTTTTCTCTCCATATGTGTGTATATTTATTATTGTCTTGATCTTATCTTCCATCATTAAAATTCATTATTCTCCTCTAATCTTATCTCTTGATGGTGGTTTTGCTGTTGTGATGGTTATTTTGGTTGTTATATAAGATGGGAGGAGACAGCTCACAGTTTCATTCTGAGATTCCTGGAGGACTGAGGGCAAGATAAGACTCAGTGACTGGCTCTTTTGCTTTTCTGACCTTCAAGTTCAACCCCAATTTCTCTCTCTGAGATTTTATTAATCATACTTCAAAAACTATATGGGTTAGAGGTATGAAAGGCAATTTAGGTAGGGGTATTGAGAATGCTCGACTTCAGATTCCTTTCCAATACTTCTGCTGCTACCTCTTCAGTCTGGTGTAGCTTGGGGTGTATTGTTCATATCTTTGTGCTGTGCCATTTTCCACATTTTGCCATGGCTTTCCCAAAATTTCATGTATTCTTTGCTAGGTAAGGCCATATTATAGCTGGAGGGAAAGAACATTGCAGATTTCTCAATTGTAGGGTCCCTTACTCCTCATGGTGGACTGGGTTTAGCCACTGTAGAGCTCTTGCCACTTCCACATAGTATCATGGCCAGTCTGATTCTCAGGGTAATGACAGGGAGGGAAGATTATGGGTGTTAGAAATATTTCAATTTCAGATCCCTCTACCCGTTTTCTGGAAGGTGTCATACATTTGTTGTTCCTGTGGAGTTGAGTCTATTTGGGATGCTAGCAGTATGATGCTGCTTTGCATGGGCCATATTTTTATAACTCAATCACTCCTTTCTTTTTTCTTTCTGTTTTATTTCCTCCCATTTTCCTTCTTTCCTTTATCGCTCCTTCATTTCTTTTTCTCTTTCTGTTTCTTATTGTTGTGAAGAGATACCATGACCATGGCAACTTTTGTAAGAAAAACATTTAACTGTGGCTGGTTTACAATTTCAGAGCTTTAGTTCAGTATCACCTTTGTGGGACAGGGCAGTGTGTGAGCAGACATGGTGCTGAAGAAGGAACTGAGAGTTCTACATCTTGATCTTCAGACACCAGACATATATACTTCTGGGAATGATTTATGCATACATGAAACCTCAAAGCCCGCCTCCATAGTGACAGGCTTTCTCCAACAAGATCACACCTACTCCAACAAGTCTACACCTCCTAATAGTGCCATTCTCTATGGGCTAAATATCCAAACATGAGTCTTTGTGTGTTGGGGCATACCTATTGAAACCACCACACTTTCCTTCCCTTTTTCTTCTCTTTTCCTCTTCTTTTTTCAATCTCTTTCTTTCTTTCCTTGTCCCTTCCCTCCTATCCTTCTGTCTAGTACCCTCCCTCCCTTTCCCTTCTCCCTCTCTCTCCCTCTTGTTTCAATGTTATCTTCACTAACCTAGAACTCACCATATAGCATAGGCTGGACTTGTGGCAATCCTCCTGCCTCCAACTTCCAAATGCTGGGATTATGGACATGAGCTACTTTATCTAGTTTACTACAGTTATCTTCTAAAGTCTGTGTTATATAGCATCTAAAAATGTGAAGAAAGGGTTCCAGAGATGGTTCAGTGGATAATGGTGCATCCTGCCAACCCTGCTGTCTTAATTTCAGTTCTGGGACTAACAGGGTAGAAATGTTCTCTGAAGTTTACACAAGTACTGTGGGGCACACACACACACACATACACACACACACACACACACACACACACACCCTAAATGAAAAACAAAGTCATCAAGGAAATAAAAAGAAAGCTACCTGAAGCTATAGACTATTGAGATTCTTTTGTAAACTAATTAAAATAACATTTTAATAAGAATTTTATTATCTGAAAGTTTATTTATTATGCTCAAATTAGTTTGACACCACCCTTTCAACAGTCAAAATAAAAACCAGTATGTTCAATGTCCACCCATCAAACCACTGTTAATTACATTAACTAGGACATCAAAGTGAAAGGGGAAACTATCCTAATTTTGTTACTATTCCTCTATGGATTTTTCTATTATTTAAAGGAATTAATATTCCATATTAAGAATTTTATATAGAATCTTTGAATTATGACATGAATATACTCTTTTACACTGTTGACTATACTTTTAAGTAATAGAAATTCTGAGTTTTCCAAATTTAACTGCCATTAATCAATATTGAAACAGCAATATTACTTACTGTAGTTTCTTCTTGGCAGTAGTTACACCAGATCATAGGGAAGTTTCTCTTCAAGGACATAAGACACTTTTCATAAATCATAGCACTCACACGTCTGTATTCTGTAAGAAAATATAAGGTTACAAATCTGAAGACTATTAACACCAAACTTGGTGATTGGCAAATTTTGTGATATCATTACCTATAAATTAGAGTTTGAATAGAAGTAATATAACACATCTTAAAATAAACATTTTTTTTTATTTTCTTGTATTCAATAAATAGCCTATTTAGTGTAGACCTCAGACCACTGTCTTTAACTCATTTTGATATTTTGGTTATATAGCTATTGATTTTGCTGCATCTAGGATTTGTACTATATGCTGATATTGTTTTTTGGGGCTATTTTAAAAAACTGAACTCAAGTATGCAAATAGTAATGAGTAGTGAGCATACTACTCATTACTCAGAGTCCTGTCCCACTCTTCATTATTGAGTACGTGTGTGCTTCTGTGTATTGGCAGAATAGTCCTCCCAAAATTAACTACATTGAATAGCTCTTTAAGCAATTTTATTTTTTATTTACTCCTATTAATGGACTCTGCTTTAAGCATGTAATGCTCAAATTCTTCAACAAAATTTTAATGTAATTAATTATCAGCAAACATTACAATTTAGTAAATCACTTCTAATTGCATTTTGAGAAATATACAAAGAAGTAAAAATATGTATTTTTCCCCTTTAGCCTTTCCCATTTTTATTCTTTTTCCTTACATTCAGATCATATTTCCTGAGGCATTTTTAAAAATTATTGGAACAGTACATGTGACAATATTTTTCAGTGATTTTTGTTTCCTTGGTTTCAAGAAAATTATTAATTATTTCACTATGGCTGTAAGTGATCATATTATATTTATTCATTTTGGAGGGAACCAAGAATCTCTAGGTACTGCTTCCCATTCTCAAATTATTTATATAGAAAGAATACAATTATATTCAGTATTACATGAGAGCATAGACATGATTATCTACTATATCCATAATTATGAAATCATTAGTGAACATGTCAGGCATTTTCAATTATGTGCCATTCAGCAAAGAAAGGAATAACGGTGAAAAAGAAAGTTGTACCTATAAAATTCTCTCTAATGGATGATATAATATTTACTTTGGTTTTATATGTTACTTTCAGCCAAGTTTTATAATAAAATATTTTGATACTATTAAATGTTTCTTTAATAAATATTTGAATAGTAATTGTCTTGTATTTGATGAATACATTATGGTAAAACTTCGGTTAATTTTCAGGCAATATCATGTATGGAAAGCTGTGATAATGATAAATTTATATTTAAACACATTTCTGCTTTCTTGGTGGTGTGTATGTAAGGGTTCAAGACAGGGTTTCTCTGTGTATCTTTGACTGTCCTGGAACTCAGACCAGGCTGGTCTTGCACTCACAGAGATTCCCCTGCCTCTTCCTCCCAAGTTCTGGGATTAAAGGTGTGTGCTACCACCACCTGGCTTATTCATGTATATTAATGGAGTAAGTATTTGGAACTTTGAAATCATTACCTGCATTAGCAGCAGCATCTCCAAATGAAGAACCGAAGGCTAACTCTAACATCTGACAAACCCAACTGAAAAAAATAAGGGGAGAGGGGAGAAGGCATCAGCTAATGGAACAGTCAATATTATATATGATATGATATTTACAAAAGGTAAGAATTGCTGTTATTTTCATTGAAACATATTAAAATTCAAAAGGATAAAGCTTTCACATCAAAAGACAATGGTGTCTATAAATATTACCCATTAGGAAGAAGTTTTTTTTTAAATATAGTTCCAACTATAACTAAAACAAAGATCATAATTTGAGGCAAGCATAAAAATCGCAGAAGAAGCATCTCTCATTATGACATAAAAGAAAACTGTATCACTGAAGTTTCAAACCTTCTAAATTATATTAATAAGAAAATAAATTGCTCATGTGAATAATAATATTTATGGCCAAATTCTCTAGATAAATTAGAAGTGGCATGATGTTGTATGAAAATATGAAACTAAGTCACAATTTCTTATTCTAATATACATGACTCATAGTATTAAAGTCATGATAAATACTAGTAACCTAAAAGTATGTAATGACTTGTTAGACAGTATCTGAGCAATTTTTACCAAGCAAAAGTTTTGTCTCTGGATGTCTAAAATAACATTACTCTTTCTACTAATTTAAATATCATTTTAACTTTTTCTAATTGATTTCAGTTAAATTCAGGAATTTGTATGTGAGCACCAAGAGATAAAGAAGTAACCAATTTGGCTTTGGCCAGCAAGTGGCCCTGATCCAGTACCAGGAGATCCATCCGGAGGGGTAAGTGTGTGCCCGACTGGCCAGCTGGGCACCCTGGAAACCAAGTTCAGGCACCCCCCAATCCCCTAAACTTTCTGACCACTCAGCAGGGCTTCTACACGGCTACTGGCTTTCTCTACTTATGCCAACTCAGCTCCCCGCCAAGCACTCCTTTCCATCTGCTGGGTCATTAGATCCACCACCACAGCCTACTTCAGGGAGGAGAGGATCTGAGAGCCAACTCTAGTGGTGAGGGGACCTAAGAGAGGGCAGAACAAGAAAAAAACCCAAGTACACAGTTAGCCACAGCAAAGTTCAGACCAAGCAGTCGAGACTTTCCTGACCGCATTTGAAGGAAGAGATAGGCAGGTGCCAATGCAAAAATTCCTCCAACAACTTGAAAAACAACATGATAACATCAGAATCCAGCGATCTTGCAACAGGAAGACTTAAAAACCATAATCCAGAAGAAGAAAAAGAAATCAACTTTAAACGTAACATTATGAAAGTGATAGAGAACATTAAATAAGACATGAAAGACTCCTTTAAAGAAATGGATGAGAAGACTAACAAGAAGTTAGAAGAAATGAATAAATCCCTCAAAGATAACCAAGAAAATCAAGAAAAAGCAATCAAACAGGTAATGGAAACAGTTCAAGAATTGAAAACTGAAATGGAGGCAACGAAGAAAACACAAACCGAGAGATGGCAGGATATGGAGAATCTAGGTAAACGAACAGAACTACAGAAACAAGTATAACCAACAGAATATAAGAGATAGAGGAAAGAATCTCAGACGCTGAAGGAAATATAGAGGAAATAAATGCACTGACCAAAGAAAAGAGCAAATCCAACAAATTCTTAACACAAAACATCCAGGAAATCTGGGACACCATGAAAAGTCCAAACCTAAGAATAATAGGGGTTAAAGAAGGAGAAGAATTAAAGCTCAAAGGCACAGAAAATATATTCAACAAAATTATAGAAGAAAACTTTCCAAACCTAAAGAAGGATATTCCTATGAAGATACAAGAAGCATAAAGGGCACCGAATAGACTGGATCAAAAAAAAATCATCCCCTCGCCATATAATAATCAAAACACAAAACATACAGAATAAAGAACGAATATTAGAAGCTGCTAAGGAAAAAGGTCAAGTAACATATAAAGGTAAACCTATCAAATTACACCTGACTTTTCTATGGAAACCATGAAAGCCAGAAAATCTTGGATAGATGTGCTGCAGACACTAAGAGACCATGAATGTAAGCCCAGACTACTATACCCAGCCAAGCTTTCCTTCACCATAGATGGAGAAAACAAAATATTTCAGGATAAAAAGAAAATTAAACAATACGTAGCCACAAACCAAGCCTTACAGAAAGTACTAGAAGGAAAACCACAATTAAAGAAAGCCAACAACACCCATAATAATAACACAGACATCTAACAACACTCCACCAGCAAAACTCAAAGAAGGGAAACACACAACCTCTACCACCAAAAAAAAAAACCAAATCTGGAGTTAACAACCACTAGTCATTAATATCACTTAATATCAATGGACTCAATTCACCTATAAAAAGGTACAGGTTAACAGAATGGATATGAAAATAGGACCCAACATTCTGCTGTTTACAAGAAACACATCTCAACCACAAAGACAGACATTATCTCAGAGTAAAGGGTTGGGAAAATGTTTTTAAATCAAAAGGACCTAAGGAACAAGCAGGCATGGCTATACTAATATCTAACAAAAATGACTTCAAACTAAAATCAATCAGAAAAGATGGAGATGGACACTTTATACTCATAACAGGAACAATTCATCAGGATGAAGTCTCAATCTTTAATATGCCCCTAATATAAAAGCACCCACATATGTAAAAAAAAATTACTAGAACTCAAAGCATACATCAAACCCACCACAGTAATAGTAGGAGACTTCAACACTCTTCTCTCACCAATGGACAGGTCAACCAGACAGAAACCTAACAGAGAAATAAGAGAACTAATGGAGGTAATGAATCAAATGGACTTAACAGACATCTATAAAACATTAAACCCAAATAGAAAAGAATATACTTTCTTCTCAGCATCTCATGGAATCCTCACTAAAATTGATCACATACTCGGTAAAAAGGCAAACATCCACAGATACAAGAAAAATTTAGTAACCACCTGTGTCTTATCGGATCGCCATGGAATAAAGTTAGAATTTAAAAACAATTCTACCCCCAGAAAGCCTACAAACTCATGGAAACTGAACAGTCAACTACTGAAACACCCCTGGGTCAGGGAAGAAATAAAGAAATAAATTAAAGTCTTCCTTGAATTCAATGAAAATAAAGACACAACATACCCAAACCTATGGGACACTATGAAAGCAGTGCTAATAGGAAAGTTCATAGCACTAAGTGCCCACATTAAAAAAAAAAAACACAGAAAGCTCACATTAGAGACTTAACAGCAGCACGGCTGAATGCTCTAAAAAAAAAAAAAAGAAGAAGAAGAAGCAGTCTCACCCAGGAGGACTAGAAGACTGGATATAATCAAACTGAGGCCTGAAATCAAAATAGAAACACAGAAAACAATCCAAAGAATCAATGAAACAAAGAGCTGGTTATTTGACAAGATTGACAGACCCCTATCCAAACTAATCAAAAGGCAGAGAGAGAACGTGCAAATTAACAAGATCAGAAATGAAAAGGGGGACACAATAACAGACACTGAGGTAATTCAGAGAATCATTAGCTCTTACTACAAGTGCCTATATGCCACAAAGTTGGAGAATGTAAAATGAAATGGACATTTTTTCAGATAAGTACCATATACCAAAATTAAAACAAGACCAGGTGAACAATTTAAATAGACCTATAAGCCGTGAGGATATAGAAGCTGTCATAAAAAAAAAAAAACTCCCAACAAAAAAAAAATCCCAGGACCAGATGGTTTTAATGCAGAACTCTACCAGAACTTCCAAGAAGAGCTGATACCTATACTCCTTAAGGTGTTTCACATAATAGAAACAGTAGAGTCATTGTCAAACTCTTTTTATGAAGCTACAGTTACCCTGATACCAAAACCACACAAAGACTAAACCAAGAAAGAGAAATACAGACCAATCTAACTCATGAACATAAATGTAAAAATTCTCAACAAAATACTGGCAAAGTGAATCCAAAAACACATCAAAAAAAATCATCCATTATGATCAAGTAGGCTTCATCCCAGAGATGCAGGGCTGGTTCAACATACGAAAATCTATCAATGTAATCCATCATATTAATAAACTGAAAGAAAAAAACCAGATGATCATTTCATTAGAGGCTGAAAAAGCATTTGACATAATACAACATCCCTTTATGATAAAAGTCTTGGAGAGATTAGGGATATAAGGATCATATCTAAATATAAGAAAAGCAATATACAGCAAGCCAATAGCTAACATCAAATTAAATGGAGAGAAATTCAAAGCCATCCCACTAAAATCAGGAACAAGACAAGGCTGTCCACTCTTTCTATATCTCTTCAACACAGTGCTTGAAGCTCTAGCAATAGCAATAAGACAACATAATGAGATCAAGGGGATTCAAATTGGAAATGAAGAAGTCAATCTTTCATTATTTGCAGATGATATGATAGTGTATATCAGTGACCCCAAAAACTCTACCAAAAAACTTCTACAGCTGATAGATACCTTTAGTGATATGGCAGGATACAAGATCAATCCAAAAAAATCAGTAGCCCTACTATACACAAAGGATAAAGAAGCAGAGAGGAAAAACAGAGAAACTTCACCTTTTACGATAGCCACAAATAGCATAAAGTATCTTGGGGTAACCCTAACCATGGAAGTGAAAGATCTATTTGACAAGAACTTTAAGGCTTTGAGGAAAAAAATTGAAGAGGACACCAGAGAATGGAAGGGTCTCCCACGTTCTTGGATGGGTAGGATCGATATAGTAAAAATGGCAATTCTACCAAAGGCAATGTATAATTTCAATGCAATCCCCATCAAAATCCCAACAAAATTCTTCACAGACCTTGAGAAAACAATAATTTACTTTATATGGAAAAACATAAAACCTAGGATAGCCAAAACAATCTTATACAATAAAGGAACTTCTGGAGGCATTACCATTCCTGACTTCAAACTGTATTGCAGAGGTACAGCAATGAAAACAGCTTGATATTGGAATAAAAACGGACATGTCGAACAAAGGAATCAAATTGAAGACCTGGATATTAGTCCACAAACCTGTGAGCACCTGA